AATACAGCGCACGATAAGCAGCGCACCGCAACAATGATGCAAAGAAAGTGGTGAGGGAATCGACAGCAAAGTGACCAAGATAAACCAAGCGGAACAAGTATCGACAGTGACATCACAAAATCAAGAATAAGCGAGAGAAAAATTTGAAAGATTCCAAATTATTGAAAGAGGGTTTTGGGGTTTAATCACAGTCGAAGTTAAAAAGCTTGAGAAATGGGTTCGAGGTCGAACACAAATATGTAAACCTTTATCATAACAATGGTTGCTTTATATCTTAAAGTAGATCTGGTAGTTGATACCAGAAAGACCTTATTGGCTACATCCATCTTCAGCTTACCTATAGTAACCATCCTGAGAGGAAATTATTTGACTCTCTTTTACACACAGTGGAAGTAATCTCGCTCATCCAAAAAGAATTTTAATCCTTTTTGTGCCTTCATCTTGTGGCAAAAGTGATGAGATTACGGCGCATACAGAGGTTTTAGGGCTACCACATCCGGTAAGAATCTGGTGTTGCTGATATTATTTAGATTTTTTTTTTCCATTAAGGTGAATTTTGGCTGAAGATTATTGATTATGAGCAGAGTAATTTTATCAGAATTTTTTATCCTGGTGAATGAGCCAATTACCACTTATGGTAACCTAAATGATGTCAAAAACACCACCCATTGCATAAAATCACAAATGAGGTGGTTTAGCTGCACAAAAGTTTCGACTAAATTGAAAGTGAAAACAAGTGGGAATGATTTCAAACATTCCTGAAAAACTTGGTTCCAATAAGGGAGTAACCGATTAGTTCTAGTCGGGACAGGACATTGTAAGCTTATTATTATCTTGTTGGTGGCTATTCACTAAAATTTCTCGACATAAAATAGACGACGCAAATAGTCCGTTTGAAACGGAGGCCAAGCTAATTCCTACGTTTGTACCTATTCCACCGTGAGCACCATTCTTTCAAATAAGCAGTGCTGTCGACTCACTTTAGTTATTCGGAACGGTTTCCCTCATCCAAATAGAGACATAAGTTGGACAAGCACAACCCGGGGATTTCAACTCCACGGTAAAACAGATAGATTGGGAGTTCTTCCGGACCAACGGCTTTGCGATGCATGGAGGAGTACGGGCATACACATATTCTCGAAAGCACCGATGTTTCCAAATTCACCGTTCAGGTCTGTGCTACGGGTCAGAATTTGGGCTCAGTAACTACAGGTGGCCAGTTGAATGATTGTTGTAAATGTTCAACCCAACGAATCAGGGTTTCTTTTTTAGAGGCCAGTGAGCCTCTTCTTTTCTATGGCTGGTCGGTTCACCAGAAGTTATAGGAAACTGGAATGAAAGTTTCCAAAGCTGACTTTGAGACGATGCACCCACCTAACATAGATTTCACAAACATAAGTGAAAAGTAAGCGGCACTGACAACAACAGTCTTGATAGTTACATATGAAGTGATGAAAATACCACCTATACTACCCTTAAAACAAGTTGACTACAAACCTAAATTTACGTCAGTTCTTGAAAGCAACCGTTGGCTTACAAGTATGAATGCTGAGAATTTAAACAAACACTGATATATCGGTCAAGCAACTGGTTTACGTGCCACTGTGAAAGCATGCTCTTTTACAAACTTGAAAAGAAATACAAATTCAAAAGGGCATTTACAGAGCCCATTTTAGCATAAAATGAGAGACCAGGATGTTGCGACACCCGAAAATTTTGGTAGTGAACCTGGAAACAGTGAAATCCGGCGTTTTTCATATTGCACCACAGAAACCCAACCGCATACATTGTCGTTTTGAAAATGTAGTTATTAAGGTGTGTGGTTACAGAGTATTCAAAATATATGATGGGAATTTCGTACCTGTAATAACGGTATTTTCCTCAGCTTAGTTCTCGGTCTGAGCCTCCCAAGCTAGCGTTCACGTCAAAACAACCACCAAAGGTGCACAAGGTCTATTAACCCACAAAACGAAATCAAGAACAGTTGTACAGCGCTTCGTATATATGGCGTAAGCGGCTATAACTTTCTGGAATTTCTGACGCGTTCTGGATGCGACATTGGCAACCGGCATTTGGCCAATACTGGGTCATGATTGGCTGTTGGGTCCAGATTGTTGACCAATCAGATCTCGCCTTGATGCCGGACCGGCAAGCGTCCCGAATTCTGGGCCAACCTCGAGCGAGCCAGGATTCTCAGCCGTAGCAGCGCCTAAAGACGTGCGGTATAGCGGGATTCGTGTGGATTCCTGCATAACAGTACCTCATTTTGCAAGCAATTTTGCAGCTATCTGCAACGTTTATAAGATCCAAGGGAGTTGTTGCAGTTAGTAATTTCTAACACCATTATACCCCGATGCCAAATGCGGTTCCTAAGTGGCGGCTGTTTGGTCCTATGGCCCAACAAATTTGAGAGAAATTGTCAAATGGGCTTCTTGAAATCTGAGGGGGGACCATATAATGGTCCATCAGCAAGCCTCCTCGTCCACTGAATAACTCCTACAGGTTTGCTACCCACAGACTACCCAGCTTTGTTTTCTTACAATTTCTTGTCTTTGTCGCGTGATGCTTAGGTGGTTTATTCTGCTCCTTTGCTGGTCGGGCGAAGTGCGTATTAAGCTCTATGTCTAGAGTGTTCTCCTGAACATCTTTAATGTTTAAGTTCATTCGTCCTTGCTGAGTGCTGCCTAAGTGTGTTTTGAGATTGTTCTGTGAGAGCGAATTTGGTGATAATGTGGCCCTTCTGGGCAATTTCACCTTTGATGCGGTAATTCTGAGAAAGAGAGTTTCTGGAATTCTTGGTGTTATCCACTTGATCGACTGCTTGAAATCCACCTACAGTTCGGCTTAAACATTAACACTATCTAAATGTCATCGCAACTTTACATCGTCTGCGAGTAGTACACAACCCGACTAGAGTTCACTTGCTGGTGAAATGACATACCACATAGACTGTCTTGGTCTGAAAACAGCCGCCTGTGGTATACCACCAGCTATCTGTCTTTGAATTGCGATCAAACGTCTCCATCCGCCCATACAAAGTCCACTGATCCCAGCCAGTTGAATTATATGTAGAAGCGTGGTGTAACCTAAATAATAGAGTACCTCGCTTAAGCCATTCAGCACAAGATGAACTGTATTTCGGCACTTCTTCTATCCTCTCAGGCTTCTGTGGTTAACAAGAAGATTGTAACGCACTACATTTTACCTGAGCCGAAGTAGGCTCCACAATAGTCCAGTGACTTAACCTCAGCGTTCATATTTATTAAAAGGCTATCTCTCAGAATCCGCGATGTGGAAACTTTTGCTCTCTTAAGTGAAAGACTGCCCGTAAGTTTGCAGCACGATCACCTCCAGTTACTTACTAGCCAAACCCGTGCGAATAAATGTTTAATTATACATGCTACACACTACGTCAGACGGCTGATGGCGTAGCATTATATACTTCGACAAATAACCCACAAAAAATAAAATTCGAAATGTACATTGTACGAATATAAAATTTGCATCCGGTGCGGACGACATCATGCAAGATTGGCTAGAAGAACGCGAACACAAGATGCGGAGATAGAGGGCTTCGGAGCGTCCGGCACGGAAGTTTTGCCCAAGCAGCCAGTGTCACCTTCTTTCTCTTGTTGCTCAAATTATGCGAAATAATACTTCGGTTGATACGTATTGCAACGACGCCCTTAAACACACTAACTGGCCCACTAAATAGCTCCTTTTTATAAAGAGACGTGCTGTAATCCCATCTATCTACGTGAGGTCCTTATTGCGTCTGTCGTCTGAGACCTTGTAATTTCAGGCTACTCATAAATGCCTGGGGTAGCTAAGGTCGGCAGGTGGGGATGGCCAATGTGCGCGGACTGTGGCGTGCTCCCATAAAAGCAATAATAATAATAATACAATTATGATAATGACATCAATATGTCTCCAAAAGAGCAGACGTTTCCGACGGGGGCTTGAAACCTGCTGGTATGTTACCCAAGTCGCGACTGTTGCGGTCCTACTAGGATGTTCGAGCTATTCGACGTTGGAGACATGCGATGCTCCTCCGGATGTAATGCCCATTTGTGTACCAGTAAAGTAAAAAATCAAAAATCAAACGGAAACAAAAGGCAGGACTCGCGAAGCACTTGCCGAGTGGATACGGGAAATGCTTTCAGCTTTTTTCAGTAACAGGTTGCCTTTAAAATCTGTTTGGATAATTTGTGAAGCAACATAAAATGGACAAAAGAAGGCACGCCTGATTATGCATGAAGCACCCCAAACAGTGCACATGTCAAACCGGTCGACAGAGGCAAACATAAGATCCGACGAGAAGCGTGTCAACCACGTGTTTGGAAGATTTCATTATTATTGTTCAGAGGCCAGGAGAGTGGCGTGCAGTGAAGTTGCGTTTGTGTTTTCATTGGTCCAGATAAAACAAAAGATTATGTACACGTGTAGTGGACTCTGGACCTTATGAGCACATTCGATCAAATAAACGAGCGAACAAATACAAAATTAAAAAATCGCAATAAGAAAGGAATAAACAATCGCTAAGTGCTCACGAATGCGTATATACAATAGTCCACTACACCGATTCTAGTGCAGTAACCTGCTGTGAGGAAAATATTCACTTGTAGAAATTTTCCACTGATGATTCACGTGTGAGTGGAATATTCCACGATAGGAAAGTTATTCCTAGCTAAAAAATGTCACAGGGAGTTAACGTGACGTTCAACAGTTCACACAAACACAGAGATCTAGTTCCACTGGTTCAACAGTAAGCAAATAGTTCGACGAAGCGAAAACCCACTGATTCAGCAAGAAGTCAGCAAGTCGTGCCGAAAATTTGTGTATTGGTACCATTTTTCTCTTGATGTAATTATTGGCACGATAAAATATGCACAACGGTTGCACAATGTAGTTTAAGTTCAGGAAAAATAGTAAATAAATGTGACAACGGATTACAGCCACCACAGTTTCACCTCCACCTATGGTAATGACAAATGACTCACCAGTGTAGTGGTCCGGCCACCCAAAAGGCTACTTCGCCTGGAGTGTGGCAGAGAACTAAAAATAAGAACACCGGGTTGAGTACACAGTAGTAATGTGATTCAAATGAAACAAAATCACCAAGACCTGTTCTTTTTAAAATAGCTCGTTCTTGGCCCATACCAGTGAATAAATAATAATCCGTTTATGGTTGTCCAGGGATTCCCTTTTGAACGGTTCTCACATATACTAGAATCCGAAGATAGTCTGAAATGTTTTGACAACAGAATTAGTACACGGAACCCGCAAATGACAGTTATAAGCACGCGAAGAGAAGGTCGAAATAAGTCACCACATCTGTCTTCATGTAACTATACAAAATGTTATTTGTCGTTTGCGCGTATTCGAACAAAGGCGTTCGTGCAATAGGCGAAATAGGTAATGTCATATTAGAAGCTAACGAAAACTACACATCACTACACTCGAAAATTATGAGTTGAATTTTCCATCTGCGATGTCTGCAAGGTGATCAAATAGGATATTGTTCTTGGCAGTTAGCGTGCCACGCAATGCCCTTTTACGCTTACCGAAAAAATCTATACATCTTTGTACATATCACAATGTTTGGTGCCATTACTGCATTGTTCTCAAGCTTGTGAGTTGAACGCATCAATCCTCCTAATCTGCGAGCCGTTAAATTGACTTACTGAGTCAGTGGATTTCAAAATTATTTCACTTATCCCCGTTAAGAAGGATTTCAGTATTCGCGAAGTGGAATTAAATTTTTGGAAGCTATGACGTGTCAGTGATGGACCAAAACAATGAGGCAATCGGGTTCAGAGTTCGGGGCTCAAGTCCCGGGGTCTCGGCGGTGCTGGGAAATTATTCCACCGGACTTTTCCGCCAGCATCATGACTGCTTCAGTGGACAATGAAATTCGGTGAGCTGCAAAAATATGAAGGTATATTACGATGGTTTTTGGCTTGAGCACATATGCAACCAAATGCAACGATTTGGTGCAAACTATTTTACTCCACTCCTAGAGGTTTTGCAGCTAAGAGCACTGTGCGGTTAATGAGTCTCTGTTACGAAAGGCGTTTTAGAGGTGAAATATTTTAAAAGCCCCTGGCTAAAAAAAGTGCACTCGCCATCTGTTCAGGAACTGGGAGCGTTCCTTTAGCCTAAATTAAAGCAAGTCTTATAGGCTCTAGTTTCGTCACCAGCAAAGAAATTTCCCACCGCATTGTGAAATTTAGTCATACGTTTCACAGCTGTTGCCGGCAAAGGTCCGGATCAAGTGTAGTAGGTGAAATACAGTGCAGCTCGCAGGTCGCACTTTATGCGGTATTATTATAGCATTGGGTGCAATGTACTAGTTACCCTGCACAACACGCGAGTCTGTTCTGCTGCACAGTCAACGGTATATTCTTTGATACTTTAGCAGCCTCTTGAGAGATTCTACACAAAGATCCCATCCAGAATTGCGTAAGCTTAACGCAAACGGTTTCTTTCCCTGGTTGATGAATATAACCACCAACCGGGCTGCTCAGTTATGAGTAGGTCGCTATTCCTGACCCCTTTTGAAGACTTCAGCGAAATTTCCTAGTCGCCGCCTTTAGCTGTCGTTCATTAACCCTCAGTCCACCGGTTAACTGCTATTTTTCCATGCCCAATATAATTTCTTTCTTCTGTGTCATTACCAGTCACGTTATTTTACCAAGTCTGGTTTCACGAGATATACAAGAATCCCTTGTTTCTTAGGCTCAACGGGACTTTGCGCCATTTTGCTGAGTGAACGTCGGCTAAATAACACCGACGGGCTTTAACTCCCAAAATGAACAAACATTTTTAGCTGAAAACACTGGACCTAGTCATTTATAATAATAATAATAATAATAATAATAATAATAATAATA